GGTTGGCGCATAACTACAAGGTATGAAGAGGGTCAGAAGTGTCTGGAAAAACTAACAGGCTTGCTAACATTAATTTGCAGTATTTTGACATATATATATTCACACACTTATCACTGTAATCTACGTGGAATAGAATTTATTACACTGCTGAAAGAACACATATTTATCAATTAATAAAAAAAAATTGTCACAAACTCCTTAACTGTGTATTATGACCCCTGCCTATAAGGTTGGCCTTCTTCTGGTCAATGTATTACGAACCCTGACTAAAAGGTTGAACCACTTCTGGTCAATTTATTATGACCCCTGCCTATAAGGTTGGCCCACTTCTGGTCAATGTATTATAAACCCTGCCTATAAGGTTGGACTACTTCTGGTCAATATATTTTGAACCCTGCCTATAAGGTTGTCCTACTTCTGGTAAATGTATTATGATCCCTGCCTATAAGGTTGGCCCACTTCTGGTCAATGTATTATAAACCCTGCCTATAAGGTTGTCCTACTTCTGGTAAATGTATTATGATCCCTGCCTATAAGGTTGGCCCACTTCTGGTCAAAGTATAATGAACCCTGCCTATAAGGATGGCCTACTTCTGGTCAATTTATTATGAACCCTGCCTATAAGGGTGGCCTAATTCTGGTCAATGTAGTAGGAACCCTGCCTATAAGGTTGTCCTACTTCTGGTAAATGTATTATGATCCCTGCCTATAAGGTTGGCCCACTTCTGGTCAAAGAATTATGAACCCTGCCTATAAGGATGGCCTACTTCTGGTCAATGTATTACGAACCCTGCCTAAAAGGTTGACCCACTTCTGGTCAATTTATTATGAACCCTGCCTATAAGGTTGGCCTAATTCTGGTCAATGTATTATGAACCCTGCCTATAAGGATGGCCTAATTCTGGTCAATGCATTATGAACCCTGCCTATAAGGTTGGCCTACTTCTTGTCAAAGTATTATGAACCCTGCCTATAAGGTTGGCGTACTTCTGGTCAATGTATTATGAACCCTGCCTATAAGGTTGGCCTACTTCTGGTCAATGTATTATAAACCATGCAAATATAAGGTTGGCCCACTTCTGGTCAATGTATTATGAACCATGCCAATATAAGGTTGGCCTACTTCTGGTCAATGTATTATGAACCCTGCCTATAAGGTTGGCCTACTTCTGGTCAATATATAATAAACCATGCAAATATAAGGTTGGCCCACTTCTGGTCAATGTATTATAAACCATGCAAATATAAGGTTGGCCTACTTCTGGTCAATGTATTATGAACCCTGCCTATAAGGTTGGCTCACTTCTGGTCAAAGTTTGTCCATTTATCCGTGAATAGATTTCTGTGCCACTGCCCTGATTTCAACCAGGAAACACAAATACGACATGATACACATATTACAACCATCCAGAGATCATATACCTAACACAACAAGACAACAATGTAAAGCAAATTTATTACAAATAAGACAACAGGAGAAGTGGACGAGAATTATCTCCCTTTAATTACTTTAGTTTTTTCAACAGTTAAACAAACATTGTTTACATTAGGCCACATAATAGTTCATAAAAAAATAATTTACATGATTTTTGGTTTGGAACTCTCTTTGATTAGAGATAATATTTTTCAGGTTAACATACAGAATATAACAATAACTGTTGTACATCAAGAAAACACAACTCTGAATACTGATTATTTTACTTCCTGATAAATCATGTGAAGGTTTTCCACTGCATTTTACTTACTAAAAGTAATCCATGTTGAAAACAGCAGACCCAACAAAATCAGCATTGATGAAATGGTAAATACAGTTTGGGAAAAACCCTCCTAGAGTTATCCTGAAGGAAAGAAAAGAATGTAACTCAGTTGAATCAAAACCTGGAATTTTCTTTTCAAGAATGATAAAAATGTTTAATGGAGAAAGACAGAAAAAGTGTACGTGTATATAATGTATGTGTGTTACAGCAGGCTTAATAAGCCAACACCTTTATCATACAGCAGGCTTAATAAGCCAACACCTTTATCATACAGCAGGCTTAATAAGCCAACACCTTTATCATACAGCAGGCTTAATAAGCCAACACCTTTATCATACAGAAGGTGCGATGATTAATTTTATCAGCCAATTTCAAACAAAATACTATAATACAGGGAAATTTTCGCCATTGAAATCAATTTCGCTCAGTCTTAATTTCGTCCTTCACATTTAATTATGTATAAGTTTTTATTGTGCTGTTTACTAATACCCACTGTAATGATAAATTAAGCCTCATTACAGAGGGCAAAAAATAAACTGCAGCTAAATTTCCCAGTATACAGTGGTCAACGCTGACCCTGAATAAGTATACTTGTCTGACTTACCCAATAGGCACCTTGACACTCATGAGTTCATAATCAGTGGGTGAATAATGTCACTAAAAAAAAACACTTGTCTGACTTACCCAATAGGCACCTTGGCACTCATGAGTTCATAATCAGTGGATGAATAATGTCACTTAAACAAACATTAAACTTGTCTGACTTACCCAATAGGCACCTTGGCACTCATGAGTTCATAATCAGTGGATGAATAATGTCACTTAAACAAACATTAAACTTGTCTGACTTACCCAATAGGCACCTTGGCACTCTTGTAGTTCATAATCAGTGGGTGAATAATGTCACTTAAACATAACACTTGTCTGACTTACCAATAGGCACCTTGTCACTCCTGTAGTTCATAAGCAGTGGGTGAATAATGCCACTTAAACATAACACTTGTCTGACTTACCCAATAGGCACCTTGGCACTCATGAGTTCATAATCAGTGGATGAATAATGTCACTTAAACAAACATTAAACTTGTCTGACTTACCCAATAGGCACCTTGGCACTCCTGTAGTTCATAATCAGTGGGTGAATAATGCCCCTAAAAAACAGCACTTGTCTGACTTACCCAATAGGCACCTTGACACTCATGAGTTCATAATCAGTGGGTGAATAATGTCACTTAAACATAACACTTGTCTGACTTACCCAATAGGCACCTTGACACTCATGAGTTCATAATCAGTGGGTGAATAATGCCCCTAAAAAACAGCACTTGTCTGACTTACCCAATAGGCACCTTGGCACTCATGAGTTCATAATCAGTGGATGAATAATGTCACTTAAACAAACATTAAACTTGTCTGACTTACCCAATAGGCACCTTGGCACTCATGAGTTCATAATAAGTGGGTGAATAATGTCACTTAAACATTACACTTGTCTGACTTACCCAATAGGCACCTTGACACTCATGAGTTCATAATCAGTGGGTGAATAATGCCCCTAAAAAATAGCACTTGTCTGACTTACCCAATAGGCACCTTGACACTCATGAGTTCATAATCAGTGGGTGAATAATGCCCCTAAAAAACAGCACTTGTCTGACTTACCCAATAGGCACCTTGTCACTCCTGTAGTTCATAATCAGTGGGTGAATAATACCCCTAAAACATAACACTTGTCTGACTTACCCAATAGGCACCTTGGCACTCCTGTAGTTCATAATCAGTGGGTGAATAATACCACTGAAACATAAATTCTCTATATAATTATAAACATATACATTTTCAGAGGAGCCTCAACAATTCTAGCAAAAGAGCTGGCAGGATTTTTAAACAGATGCATACCTGTATAGAATTTAAAACATGTAATTCAGACAGGTGGGCCAATCATTTTTGAGATGTCCACATTGCCATGGTACACTCTAGGATTATCCCTGCACAGGAAGAAATTTTATATTTAAAAATTATTAAAACAATCACAGCAATTTAGCATTTGTCAAGCACACACCTTCTTCATTTTCACACCTGTAAATTCAGTCAGGTCTGCAAAGGGTCCTAGGCACTAAGTTTTTACTGGGGTTTTACTTTTTCTAAAATAACTCTGTATAGCATTTCAGACTCTGGGAAATTTCAAATTTCTTGATTGAATCTCAACAAGAAAGTTCCAACAAAAATTCCAGTTATTCAAATACTACTTAATATCTATTGGTTAATTTTGTTTTTTTGACAGATATTTTAAATTCTATCAGTATCAGGCAGGCAAACGATAAATTTATTCTACATACCGTTGCACGTAGTGACAAAGGAACATGGCTAAAAATACATAGTTGGTATAGCGTCTTACACCTCCATACAGAAAGAATACCTGTGGCAAAAGTAAAGAAATAATTCTCACTACAAAATAGAAAGCGATGACAAGGATTTTTTAATTTAGAGCAACAGTCACCTTGACTCAATAAACCACAGAAGTCTGAACTCATTTCAGGTCTTGTATACTGAATACTTGAATAAAATTTTGTTACATAAGAAAGAAAAGCGAAGAATGAAGGGCAGTTACTAACCACTCTAACATACAAATGTAGGCCTGCACCTTCAAAGCGACACAAAACAACTTCTTGTAGAAACAGAAATCCCATGACAAGTAATTTTAAGAGGTGACATAAGACATTTGAACTAAGGAATTAGCAGATGATGATTTGGTGGTATGTTCAATGTTAAACACGGCTCATACAGATATTTCAGGACTTTTAAAGGATAAAAGTAGCAATTTCTAATCTTATTCATTCCAACGTTATATTTTAGTCGAAAGGATCGGCAACGAGGAGAAAACTACTGTTATGCTTAACAGTAATACATGTATCACCTTTTTCTCAATACATGGAATACAAAATTATTGAAAGTAATAGGGGAGCTCTTACCAGCAGGAATAGTAGAACACCAGGTGTGGCATCAGACAGAATGTGTCCCAAGCGCTGCGGAATCATTGGACCCCAGTTCAAATCCTATATTCCCATTAAAAAACAAATGACGTTACAAAATGCAACAAAACATTTTTTTACAGTAAATCTTTACATCTTGATAAACTCCATGACTCACCGCAGCTAAAATTATTTCCATATAACAGATATTTTTGACAGTGATACTGATAAGCAAGGGTAGTTAGAGTACTATGTTTCAAAATCTCAGCTTGTTGTAATGTAGAGCGTAAGAAAGTCATTGGTTGGATGTTTATATAAACTAGCTTCAATTTACAGTTTTAACTGATGGTCTATATCAGGGGTGTACAATTTCATAATGAAGTCCTAGGCCTAGCAAGCAATTATTACTCACAGTCCTCGCATTTGGAGATGGTCCATTTGGTAATTCAATCACCAGCTCAAAGGCCAAGGCTTGTATTCACGAAAAACCATTCTCATACTCAGACTCAGATTTGCGCTCAAGCCTGCTTTCTTGATCCAGAGATGAAATAAGCAAAAATTCCCACTTTGTCAGTGATTCTGAAGATTTTTGGAGAGACTTCATGCCGAATCCTGTTACAAATGTTTACATTTGACTTTTTCATTATATTTTTACGTCTCATGATTTAAACAAGTGTAACAGGAGAGGAAAAATGCACGGCAAGATCAGGGTTCAAACCCGGGACCCTTCAAACTCTAGACGGACGCTCAACCAATTGAGCTATCTGGTCGCCGACGGTCGACCAAGTCCAGTTCCGCTACACAAGTAACAAAATAATGGTTTGAGTACAGAATTCAAAGTTTGAGCATGAGAATAGTTTTATAAATATGGGCGCTAATCTACTTGACCCAGGTCAATGGACCACTGGGATATGGTAATTCACTTGCTCAAGACTATATATGTATGTATACAAACTTTGTTTTCATGTTTGCCGTAGGGGGCTGGATTTATCCACTGTACCACTGCTGTAACGACTGCCAGAACAAATCCTAGAATGACCAGACCGTAATGAACCCAGAACCTAGTGCTGTCCTCTTCATATAGTATCCACGGGATTCCCTGTGTTCAAAAACATATTTATAATCACTGATAAAAAAATTGGGAACCCCAATATTCCGTGTGTTCAAAAACATATTTATAATCATTGATAATAATTAACGCAGAACCACAATGATAATATTAATGAACAGAAAATCACAGGGGTACCTCCAATAACCTGTGTTCAAAAACATATTTATAATCATTGATAATAATTAACGCGGAACCACAATGATAATATTAACGTACATAAAATCACAGGGTTACCTCCAATAACCTGTGTTCAAAAACATATTAAAAATGTTAGTAATCAATGATAAATGTAAATGAGGAACATCAGGATTCCCGGTGTTCAAAAAGATTTTTATAATCAATAATAATGAATGAGTGTCAAATGTTCGCAGTAAAAGTTGGTTGCCAGCAAAATTAGCCTGCTGTTCATCAACTTTGAACCAACTTTTTTTTTAAGATCATACAAGTATGTGAACATTCCACAGGCTCTTGTTTTTTAAAAACTTAGTGAGAACACCAAGTGTAGTTTCATAAATTACAAACTACTTGTTACAGAGTTGAACAAACATATACTTTAAAAACTGACTTCACAACAAGCATACATGTACATATACTCAAATAAAGAAGTCTTGTTTAACACTGCACATTATTGGGTTCGGTCTATAACGTTACATGGAGGTAGTTACTGAACCAGTCGGCAGTAATAAAACCCTGAAGTGTATTATTGAACCCTTCTTTTATTTCTCATAAAATATCCATCGAAGGTCTATTCCGTCTTTGCGTATTGCAGAGTTATCTGCTCTTGTGAGCAGGTATTGATTGTTACGTCAATTGTTTGTGAGAGTAATGTCATCAATTTTTGAGAAAACAACATAATTTTCTCACACAAACCAATGACGTAACAATCAATTCCTGCTCACAAGAGAAGATAACTCTGCAATACGCAAAGACGGAATAAATTGAATCAAATAGATCCTAAATGAACATTTCATATACTTCAAGGGCTGTACCTGACCTATTCCCAAGTGCAATTTAGTTTATGTTTATGTCTTTATGATAATCTTTAAATTCCTTCATCTAATAATAAAAGAGAATCCATCATAAATGTGATTAAAACTGGGTATCATTTTATACAATATGTATCATACCAAAATTGTTCACACTGCAAATCGCTATGGTAATGCGCGGTGCTTGAGCAAGTCTGTTGGTTGTAGTAATAAACTTTCGTCCATTTTTGACCTAGTTTTTATTGTTACAAAATTAGTCAACAGTGAGATGTGTTCAGTAATTAGCGAACACCTCTAAATGTCATCAATGGTAAATAAATATCATCAATGGTAAATAAATGTCATGCTTGTAAAATAAAATTGGGGGGCGAAATAGTTGGGGCGTTATTGTTTTTTTGGGGCAAACTGGTTGGGGCGATATAATTAAAATCTGGGGTGTACCAGATTGTGGCGTTACAGTTTGGGGGCGAATCGTCTGACATCCAAAATTATGCACACTCGGTGCATCGAAGCACCGAAACTGGACATGCACAGAAACAGGACGACAGGGGTTCGTTACAAATGTGTGAAGAAATACACATATATGCTATACTGATATTGGTCACAGCACACATAATTAGTGTGCTGTGACCCATGTCAATATAACATGTGTATTTTCAAATATCATTTGTAACGAACCCCTGTGACAGGAGTCAGGACCTAACGGCGATCTTACGTAAGCATAAGCTAAATCTTCTTTACCAACTAATGTCGACACGACCTTTTATTTTGTTTATTGATGCCATTTTATTGTGAAATAAAATCTTCAATGTAATGCAATATTCGTTTTGTTCTAGGACTACCAGTAGTTTACCTGAAAAGACATTTGGAACGAATTGAAGGGCCCCTGTTTCTTCCGAGCAGTTCTTACGCGGCACCTAATTTACGACATGACGGCATGTACCGACAATAACCAACAAGAAACAGTTGTAAGCGTGACTGACAACATGTATATATGTCAATCTCTACCCAGAGTTGTCGTTCCTTTTCAATCACACACTTAGTGAAACGTTTGTTCGTTTTTTCGTTTTTGGCCCGATCCGCCACCCATACATGCAATATCCACGCAGAGTTACGGTCCTTGCTCTCCCTTTAAAAGCAACGCGTTAGAAGTATCTTCGTATCTCGTTATAACAATTGATTTTTTTGGTTAGATATTAAAAAACATTATTTTAAAAAAGTGCAATGGTAAACAAAAAATTAGACCTAGCGGATGCATTATGGGTGGCGGTTCGGGCCAAAAACAATATATAATAACGCGTTAAAAAAGTAACGCGTTAAAAGTCACTTCTTACGCGTTACAATGGTAAATGCACTGGCCAATCAGAGAAATCGTTTCATAGTTGATGTTTTTGATATTTAAAATAAATAAAAATGTTTTGACTATTTATATTGAAAAAAACCTAGACAATAACCGATTTCCACATCATATTTTTCTTCTAAGTAATGTGGAAATGGGGTATTGTCTGGGTGTTTTTTCAATATAACTTAACAAATCTTCATTTAATTCAAATAAAATATGACAATTTTGATATATGAATTTATAAAATTTCCAGAGCCTTAAAAGTGGTGTCGGAACGCAATTTAGAATTTTTATTATTGATTTTCTGAAAATGCCCTATTTTTTGGGAACTTCAAAAAATAATTTTTGCTTTCTCGTTTCTTCATTAAACAATTCCTGTATGAACATAAAATTATCACATAAAAGGAACATAAAATTGTCTGGAGTCCTTAAAGGAAGAAGAATGACAATGTATAAGAAAGAGGTAGGAACAGCAGATAAGTGTGTATCATTGCGGTAATGAATGGTGTTGTAAGTTGCCAGGTTCAGGATGATGTTGAACAACATGCATTGTATATTATGTAAGTGTGAAATCTGGTGATTATCAACATACATTAGGTGGTTTTGTAAGGTATCCACTCGTTCAATACGTGTATGATTTTCTGTTTAGTTGTACAATTTTTGTATTTTAAAATGTTCGAAGGTCTTTGTATATATGTTTCTAGTTATGTCATAAATTGTTAAGATTCTATTCAACGTTAACATGACTGATGGTTTGTTGTTCTTTTTATAGTTACAGTTATAGTTTATAAGTTCGGCTTGAAGTCTATTCAACACATAATTAGTGTTTTGCGGACTAGTACAGACATGGAGGATGAGACAGATAAGGCAGGAAAAGAGAAAGCCCTACATTGGTGGGAAAATGATGGGATCCTGAGGATTTATCCTGATAAATGTTCGGTTTGATATTGTAGAAGACTCATCATGTTCCTCATAACGTCCTGAATACTGTACAATGTTGTTTTACTTTTCAGGCGGCCCCATTACGCAATGTAGTCGCCTTGGATTTGATCAGGCATTGTCAATTCCCTTAGGTGATCGTTTAGGCCCATACACCTCTTGTGTCGACACACGATCGGATTGACGACACATAATTACCAGTTGGATTATAGTTGCTTCTCGTGTTTATATCAATGCTTATATCATGCATGTAAAAGTTGCAGCACACACACTGCACATGTACATCTAAAATACCGTGTCAAATGACATTCGTCCCTGTCGGCCGAAATGATTAATCACTAGTGTTTGTATGCGACGTTTTCGTGTTTTCAAGTTTCCTGTTCTTGGGATAGCAAAGAAAGTGGCCAGGGAAGAACAGAGTAGAGATGAAAATTTATTCGGGGAGGAATTAGAAGTATTTTACACCTAGTATGGAACTAATTTAATTATTAAACATAACTTTATATTTTAAAATGATTTCCAAGCATGAAATAATCAATGTTCAATATGTGCCTGAATCATCCGAGCTACCCCGCTCCCTTCCCTTCTTTCTATCTCTTTCTCTGTTATAGTTAAAAATCAGGTTGTATATAAGTTTGAATGTTTTTGTACCGATCATCGAGAAACGGATATTCAAGGACGAACGGACGGACAAGAAGGAAGCAAACCAAGGCACGGGAGTGATGGACAATAGTACAAGAATGTTTAGGAAAGTGTATAGTGTAAACTTCTGCCGTCAGTGTCGGAAAAGATTGTCCACATTATGAAAAAAAAACATTTCTAAAATCTCTCTCTCTCTCTCTCTCTCTCTCTCTCTCATAAGATATGTACAAATGGTTGTGTATATTGTATATGCCGTCTTGAATTTTATAAATATATTCAGATGTTTTATTTTAGGGAAAGGGCTTTAAATAAGTTGTACAACTTGTGCCCAATCCTGTTGCTTTAAAGGCAATAAAATAAGTTTAAATCAAAATCACCCGAGCTATGTTTTTCCACATCAGAAGACATGTCTTCAAAAATCGACAAGAACTATTCTGCATCCTCCTCGGCGATTAAATTCCCAACAGCCCGCCTTACGTCTCTTTCTAGACAAAGAATTCTATGGAAAAAAATGAAGATTAGATTGGTTCTAATTTATCCAATAAATAACGGTTATTAGGACATTTGATCTTATTCCGTGGTGCAATGTCCGTCATCTGTCCCAATAACTTTTGTTAAAATATCTTTTTCAACAGTCCATAAATAAACTGATGTTAACCAAACTTTGTAGTGAAGTATCATTGGGTTCACAGGTGTTTGTATTTACCTAACGAAGGCATTTAAGGAAATCGGAAAAATAAATAAAAAAATTATGACTTTTTGAAGTTCCCAAAAAATAGGGCATTTCCCAGTGAAAGTCAATTATAAAAATTCTAAATTGCGTTCCGACACCACTTTTAAGGCTCTGGAAATTTTATTTATATATCATATATATAACTGCCATATTTTATTCCAATCAAATGAAGATTTGTTTATTCATATTGAAAAAAAAACCAGACAATAACCGATTTCCACATAACTTAGAAGAAACATATGATGTGGAAATGGGTTATTGTCTGTCTTTTTTTTTAATATGATTAGTCATAACATTTTTATTTATTTTAAATATCAAAGACATCAACTATGAAACGATTTCTCTGATTGGCCAGTGTATTTACCATTGTAACGCGTTACTTTTACATTTTGGCCCGAACCGCCACCCATAATGCATCCGCCAGGTCTAATTTTTTTGCTTACCATTGCACTTTTTTTAAATAATGTTTTTTGAAGATCTAACCAGAAAAATCATTTGTTATAACGAGACACGAAGTCGTTATAACGAGATACTAAGTCGTTATAACGAGATACTTAAGTCGTTGTAACGAGATACTAAGTCGTTATAACGAGATACTACGTCGTTATAACGAGATACTAAGTCGTTATAACGAGATACTTAAGTCGTTGTAACGAGATACTAAGTCATTATAACGAGGTACTAAGTCGTTATAACGAGGTACTAAGTCGTTATAACGAGATATTAAGTCGTTAGAGAGTAGACTTGTCCCTTCATATTGATATAAAATTTTGTACAAATTTCCCAAAATATCATAGGCTATTGATTGCATAATTTAATTGTGCGTTTCCTTTTTTGTTCAGTATATAACGTACCGTCGGATGTGACTTTTAGTGGTGGGAAAATTATTTATAATGGCTTGGTATTTTTTTTTTCTTTTTGCGGGGGAGGAGGGGGGATGGAAGGAACATGTCCACCTGGCATAAAATATCCCACTCAGTATTTTCTTAGGACGTAAATTTATACCTGCTAACGCCGTTAAAGCGACATCCCGATGAAGTAGACTTGTTTATTTTGGTAATTAATATAGACTTTCTTTATTAGACGTTCATATAGAATTCATAAAATAAAGGGAAAGAAAGTTTTATGATAATGTACAAAACAAAATTCACAGGTTCGACTTTCCCGCCATATCCTCATTCCTTAACTCCGGTTGCGTCGGGGTTAATTAAATTACAAGGGGACCTAACGTAATCAACATCTTCAAAATTCTCTAAAATGATAATTAAGTTATCTAAGCAGCGCTGTCGCCTAGACTAGCACAAGTTTCCTCTGGCTCTGACACCAGACTTAAACATTTTGACATAGATGTCCAGTGTGGGGCAGGACAAAAATCGACTATGACACAACTCAAACCTCACATATAAAACAGACAGTTGATATGCAGGATAAACGCCATTTAAAGTTGCTGAAAATGATGTGAACGAATATTTACTCTTATCTAATATCAATAGTCTGAAACGTATTTTCCCTCCGAGGACCTGCCATAAATAAAGAGTTGACTTCCGAATGAATAATTATATGACTGTTGCAATATCTTCTTAGTGCCTATTGGTAGAGGATGAAACATATATTTCCTACAGACCAGCAGCAGCAAACGTTTGTCAAAAATGTCTTTAGGTCAACTAGAATTTTGCCATGTGTCATATGTCAGTATACACCTCCTCGTATAATCATAAATCAAATTCTATATCCTCTATCAGAGGACCGGTGGGGGACTAATTAACATTGTGTCATAAATCAACAATCTCACTGCAAATAAATATTATAATACATGAATCCATCAAACTTAAGTTATCAATTTGTATGCAAAAAATAGGGTAGGTTTGTGAAAGTGATCTTGAGTTCATATTTTTCTGATATTCAAAATATCATTTTCTTACGTACGTAAACTAGGGGTATAACATGGAATCCATTCTACAATAAGTCAGTCAAGTGTATTATGTGTTATCACAAAATGTGCTGAGGCAACAGTTAATCACAGTCCCCAAATTTTTCCAAGTTTAGGGTCAATTAAGCTTAACTATTGCTTGCTAATTTTACATCTTGTGAAATGTACTAGACTTGCCAGGTAAATGTCCATGGACAGTTACATGCTGTGTTATTACTAATAGTATATACAGATTTTCAAGCCTCTTGTGCTTTAATAGTGCTCTGTAAGTTACAGAAGTATGTTCATGAAACTACACACTGGCGTATTGCATGTATATACCAGTGGTCTTGGACAGGTAAGACCAGGGTGGGGGTGGGGGTTCTCCTCAGCAAATACATCTCCCAGATTTTTTTTATCGGAAAGTCCCTCATCCTTCATAACTTCCTCATTTAGATGTATTTCTTCAAATAGGTGGCAATTGTCAACTTTAACATATTTGGATTTTAATATT